AAATAATATATAAATATATTTTATAATAAAATTAACCACAGAAATTCAAATACTTTACAGGAAATAAAATTAGATTAACTTTACATAGTTTTATTTTTCAAGAAACAAATTAAATTATCTGAAATGAAAGAAAATACATAATTAAATATTTACAAATAAAATTACTATTCTTATATAAAGTAAACTGTAAGAATATAAATCGGAATATCACAACTTAATTCCATTTTGTTACTGAGTTTAGTTAATATCATTATTATACTAGATTGATTTCAGTCATAACTCGATATTAATGCAATTTCTGAAAGATAATTTGTAATACGACTAGTGGTTCAATTATCTAACTTATATATGAATATTTGAATTTTCATTCAGAAGACCCGATATTATTTTATGAATATTTGAGTTCACTGTAGCCGTTGAACGAGGACGAACTTATATAGGAATGATATAAAAACTGAGGGAGAAAGTATTCTGGTCATATTGCTAATGTACTCATCAATCTTATTTTGGACGTTTTGGTTTTACCCATTGCACGCATACTTCTACTATATAAACTATACAGTCTTGCTTCATATCCATGTATATACACATGTAAATGCAGTTTTGCATGTTTAAATCTGAATATATCCTGTATATATAGCTATATATAAACTTGTTTTTTTAACCTATTTAAAGATTTTTTCTCGGTATTTACAGTAGCGATTCGACAAATATATTTCACTTCTTAGAGAAATAACATGTATTTTTCATAGAAACGTGTTGGTGAATACATGTAATGAAAATTATTATCTAAATTTAAAGAAGAAAATTACCGTAGGATTACGTTACACAAGTTTAATGGATGCATTAATGTGTTCACTTTGGTTAATAATTTTCTGTTTTAATTGCATTATATAAGAAAAATAAAATTTTCCGTAAAGGTAGAGTCAATACTTTTAAGATAATTACGCAAAGTTATTTACATGAGTGAAAAAAATAAGTGTTAATACTTGATTCAGTTGAAATTAATTAGCTCGTTTTATATATTTTAATGCTTTCTATGTTATATTATTTTTGCTGAAAATTTATATTGAAGTAATGAATAGGAATGAATAAATTTCCAATCCAAGACTATTAATCACAATTTTGTACATGAAAGTTTTATTAAACAAATGAATGTTGTGCGTGTTGAAATATCATAGTTCCATTATTAAAAGATTTCTCGTTTAAAATATAATAATTTAAATCTATAATTTTTTATATCATTTATCAAAAACTTGAATTTGTTTATAAGTCATATAACATATTTCGCTTTTTTTCCTTTAATTTCATTTTTTAAAATACTTTGTACTGTTTTTTAATGGAACTTTTTATCTTCCGAGAAAGTTATCACAAATTCACACATCGAAAAATCTTATAGTTCGACTGATAAAAAAGAAAATTTCAGTATCATCTTATATAACTCATAATAGTTTTTATATTTCTTAATATACGGTCGATACAATTATAATAAAATTATGTATCTAGTTATAAATTTACATCTGCCAATTCATAAAATTATAGTGTATAGGGGAGATCGGGGCAAGATCGGCATGTTAAGCTTTACTTAAATTTTGTGTAATAAATACTGCTGTAAACTGAAAAAAAAGCTTTGCATATTGTCTATTGGAATGTTACCTTACTATAGAACTGGTTAAAATCAGTTTGGAAATAAAAATAATTAAAATAATTACAA